CACACACATTGGTCTAAAATAAATCTAGACTGATAATATTATTTTGTTATTTTTTAAGATTTTAAGATTGTCTTTGTTCAATGTTTAAATGTCAGATGTTTAAATATGTAGTTTCTACAACATATTTAGACATTTTTGTTTATTTATTTTCCTATATTACCTGTCTACTGCATTCTTTGTGTTTTTAAAGGCAAAAGGTATAGGTCATGCCATTTTCTTTATTTTGATTAGTTTTGCCCATTTGTACCATCATATTTTACTAAAATGTGGATGAGTTTAGTGTTTGTGTCACTTTCTATGTTCATTCCAGTCAATTAAATTATGTGGCTTGTTACCCTGTTACCTATCTATGCAATGCATATTTTATTTTGTCCCCTGACAGTCTGAACGTGGCAAATCTGATTTTTTTTCTTTCAAATCTAACCAAGGGCTTTTCAGTATGTGGTACTAAATTTGATACATATCTGATGTTTTTCAAAGTGACTGCATTCTGATCGTTTGTGTCACATTTCATCTGACTTTCTCTAAATAATTGTAAGAGTTGCAAAATTTCACCCACTCACCCCCACCCCGCAAGAAACAACATCACACTGTGTTACTCCAAGTATGTCTGGCCCATATGACCTTTTGAAGGGAGACAGGCTGCTTTTCAAATAAACCAGTCAACACAGTTCAAATAGGCTGTGCTGGCACCAAGAACAGATCATAAATTTAGACTGTTGTAGGGATTCACAATCATTTATATTGCTTGTCACTCTGCTTAACTATCAGAGCAAAGGGCACTTGAACCAACAAGTAGCAACCAGAGATTACTCGAATCCCTGCAATAGTTATTGGATTATAATAGGCCAATTGTCATTCCACAGCAGTGTCTCACTTTTCTAAGAATTTACTGGCTCACTTAAGTTCCAGCATAAAGTGAAACATCATCATGACACAGGCTACAGCTGAGTTAGGTGATTTTATGTGCTGCAAAGAATGGCAACAATTTTTTAGTGAATACCATAAAGTATATAAAGAAAGACTGATTGTAAAGTTCTAAAATGCATCTTTATTTGACAATGTTGGCACAATATCTATGTCTATATTATWCTATGATTTATTATTGTATAAGAACAAACTTGTCTAGACTGTATGAGAGTATGTTTGATTTGAATAAAAAAAGTTAAGTAGGTCCCCTGGGTGGGTGCTTTTTTAATGGAACATTTTGTCTCTTCTCCAAAAGAATTCTTCAGTCTGATTTGATTTGAATGCTAATGGGGAGCAGCTACTAACAGAAAGTGGAGCTCTTTGCCCCTGAAGTTAGCATGGGCAGCTACTGCAGTGGTAACCTCTTTGTTGAGTTTTTCTCCTTCACCTATCTGATCTTTCTTATTTTAAATGCATTTGAAGATGCATTTAAAGACAGAATTAAACTCTTGGACATAAAAGCTGAAATGATGCACTCTTGTTTTGACGGCAAACCCAMATGTGTACAGCAAATGTAAAGGAATTGGCCTTACTTTTTCATTACTTTTAGAGTAAGTAAGTAAAGTAAGTAAACTTTCTCACCTTTCACAGACACAGAGGGGGGTGAGTGTATGTCCTTTTAAAGCTCAGTGCCATGACTTTTTTTGTGGAAGTAAAAGTATTAATTAAAAATGACTGATAGACTGATAAACCATGACTGTAAAGTGATGGGTTACATTGAAAAAGAAAAAAAAATAGTTCTAGTTTTGAGTCTGTGTTATTAGTTGTTAGAATATTCAGTATGGATTTGATTATTACTTTATAACTATGGTTTTGGTCTAATTTTGAACTGTGGTAGATGTGTAAATAAATACAAAAATAAATTAACAGAAAAAAACACACAATTTCATATTATGTAAATGCCTATTTATTGAAGTAGTACAATGGAAAAATAATTCAACAGTTAATTCATATTTTATGAACTCTGTTGAACAGCTTCATTTACTTGTGGTCACTTATTCAGCAGAGTCACTCTGTAAAACAAGACAAGACAAATAAAACATTTAAACATTTAAAATTGTTTGAGTTATTAACAACTGCAATGCATGAATAAACACTTCTCGGTTTCATTATATWAATCACAGACAAATAAAGGCTTGTCCAAACTGCAGTGAGGTACCCAYCCACATTAAAATGATGACAAGTATAATTGGACAGAAAATATTACCTTTCCGGAGTCACGGCTCTTGGCTCTGAGCTTGTTGACCTGGGACTCAGCGATGTCAGCACGCTCCTGAGCCTCCTCCATCTCATGCTGGACCTTCCTGAGCCTGGACATGTGGGTGTTGGCCTGCTCCTCCTGTGTTTAGGATTACACATTGTTGTGATACATCCCATCATGAAAGTTGGCTTTTACATATTATGTCACTGCTTAAATGTATCAATTCTCCAAAAGAAATTTGAATTATTTCGCTTACAGCCTCCTCAGCTTGTCTCTTGTAAGCCTTGACTTTGAGCTGCAGCTTGTCCACCAGGTCCTGAAGTCTGAYCAAATTCTTCTTGTCCTCCTCAGTCTGCAAATAGATAAAACAATAAAGATGAAGTAAAACGACAAAAAATACATTTGTGTATAGTTTAAAATAGTTTTCCAGAACAACTACATACCTGGTAGGTCAGTTCCTTCACTCTCCTCTCATATTTGCGGACTCCTTTAACAGCATCAGCTCCACGTTTCTGCTCAGCATCAACTTCAGATTCCAGTTCACGCACCTRTTACAAGATAATAAATTACTTGTTGAAGAAGCAGTAAGTGATCATAGAATGGTCCTTTTCATTTCTGTAAGCAGTCACAGAACATTGGGTCCATACCCTCTGCTCCAGTTTCTGAAGCTGCTTCTTGCCACCCTTCATGGCGAGGTTCTCGGCCTCATCCAGACGGTGCTGCAGGTCCTTAACAGTGACCTCCAGGTTCTTCTTCATCCTCTCCAAGTGAGCACTGGTGTCCTGCTCCTTCTTCAGCTCCTCAGCCATCATGGCAGCCTGTAATGATGGGAAATTTTATATTACAATTTTGAAAGTTATGGAGAACCTAAMAGAATTTAAACAGAATTTAACAGGTGTTTGGTACAAATTTAGATACTGTAGAAGAGTTAGCTCACATCAGTGATGGCTTTCTTGGCTTTCTCCTCAGCATTTCTTGCTTCCTGAACAGCATCGTCCACCTCACCCTGAACCTGGACAAGATCTGTTTCCAGCTTCTTCTTGGTGTTTATAAGGCTGGTGTTCTAAAAYAGGATTAAATAAAACTTGTTGAAAATCAGTCTGTTATATCTTTAATACCTCTCAGTTCAAGTATTCCAAAAAACCGAACCTGAGAGTGAAGCAGTCCAACACGCTCACTGGCATCAACCAACTCCTGCTCAGCCACTTTTCGTGATCTCTCTGTCTGTTCCAGAGCAGCTCTCAGCTCCTCAATCTCAGCCAACATCAGACCATTCCTGCGCTCCACCATGGCAACCTGCTCCTTCATRTCCTCCTGTCCTCTRASAGCATCATCAAGGTGCAGTTGGGCATCCTAACAACAAACCAAGAGTCAGAGAGAATGTTTTTATTCTGAAACTATTGTATTTAAATATCACAGTAAGCAAAGCTCACCTTGAGCTGTCCCTGAACATTCCTCAGTTGTTTCTGGGCCTCAGCAGCCTGCCTGTTGGCATGGCTCAGCTGAATCTCCATCTCATTCAGGTCTCCCTCCATCTTCTTCTTGACTCTCAGGGCATCATTCCTGCTCCTGACCTCAGCATCAAGAGTGCTCTGCATGGAGTCAATCACCCTCTGGCTGTTTCTCTTGATCTGCTCCATTTCCTCATCCTTCTCAGCCAGCTTCCTGTCAATCTCACTCTTGACCTGGTTGAGCTCAAGCTGGACACGGAGAATCTTGGCCTCCTCGTGCTCCAGAGTGCCCTGAAAATAATAAACAGACATTAACTTTAACTTTTGCTGATATAAGGACATTAATCAGAAGCATTGTGCACATGCAAATATTTTCAAAGTTTTACTTATTGGTTTGATAAATGAAGCTTGAATTTTTACCTCGGCTTCCTCCAGTGCAGCCTGAATTTCAGTTTTTTCTGTCTCCACAGTCTTTTTGGCTTTCTCCAGCTCATGGATGCTCTTTCCAGTCTCACCAATCTGTTCAGTCAGATCTGAGATCTCCTCTACAGAGCAAATAACAAAAGAATTGTGCTCATTACCTATCATACAAAATGTTTTGGTAATTAGTTAAAAAAATATTTTTTTATTGACATACGCTGCAGGTTCTTGTTCTCCCTCTTCATGGTCTCCAGCTGATCCAGGGCCTCCTCATAAGAGTTCTTCATCTTGAACAGCTCAGTGCTCAGAGAACGAGCCTCCTTCTGGGCTCCCTCCAGCTCAGCCTGGCTCTCCTCATACTTCTGCTTCCATTCTGCCAGGACCTATTTTTGCATTTAATGAGTAAAAAAACAGTTTCATATAAGCAAACACTTCCTCAATTATTAGTATTTTAAATGATCAGAATAACATTTTACCTTGTCAAAGTTCCTCTGCTTCTTGTCAAGGTTGGCAGCCAGAGCATTAGCTCTCTCCACGTCAATCATGAGATCCTCCACCTCACCTTGTAGTCTCTGCTTGGTCTTCTCCAAAGAGGCACACTTGGAGTTCACAGCCTCAATGGATTCCTCAGCCTCCTGCAGGCGCTGGGCAAGCTTTTTCCTTTGTGAAGTCATGTTGAAATTGGTTAAAAGGAGACACTAGAACAGAGTAAGAATGTCAAAGACAAAAGTGAAGCAACATACTTGGCCTCCTCCAGCTCCTCAGTGCGCTGGATGGCATCAGTCTCATATTTGGATCTCCACTGAGCCACCTCACTGTTGGCCTTGGACATGCCTCTCTGCAGCTCAGCCTTGGCCTCCTGCTCCTCCTCAAACTGCTCTCTGAGCAGGTCACAGTCATGGCGGGCAGACTGGACAGCATGGGCCAGGGCATTCTTGGCCTGTAAGTCCCAAAGTCAGTATCAGTCAGACTATTGTGTTATTGAGTTAAGGAACCAAACGATGGAGTGGTGTTTTTATACCTTCACTTCCTCCTCCACGTGTCTCTTGAGTTCCTCAATCTGCTGAGTGAAAGCCTGCTTGCCTCTGGTTAGCTGTGAAACGAGACCTTCTTTCTCCTCAACCTGGCGAGCCAGTTCACCTGTGACAGTTACACATTTATTAAAATTAGATCTATAAAAGATCATACACAAAGCTTTTTAACTGTAGGTCACTTACCACTCTCTGTCTGAAGTCTTGCTTTCTGTGCATTAGTGTCATTCAGCTGGCGAACATTCTCATCATTCTTGGCTTTGAGTTCACTCAGTTGGTCCTCAAGAGTTCTGCACATTTTCTCCAAGTTGCCCTACAAAAAATATGGTTTTAACATTTTTGCCATTAAAATGAATTTCATTACGTTTGTAGATGTACTAAATGCTGATGTGGAAATTAGTGTCTTACCTTTGCTTTGGCAACAGCCTCCATGTTGCTTGAGAGGTCATCAATCTCCATCTTGTACTCACTCTTCTCCTTCTCCAGCTTCTGCTTGACACGCTGCAGGTTGTCGATCTGCTCYCCCAGCTCAGCAACGCTGTCGGCCTGCTTCTTGCGGAGAGCTGCTGCAGTGGCTTCATGCTGCAGGGTGGCTTCTTCAAGGTCACGACGCAGCTTCTGGAACTCAGCCTCACGCTTCTTGTTCATCTCAATCTGAGCAGCTGTTGCTCCACCAGCTTCCTCCAGCCTCTCACTGATCTCCTCAAGCTCCCTGGAGAGGTCAGCCCTCTGCTTCTCTACTTTAGCACGAGCAGCCCTCTCAGCCTCAATCTCCTCTTCCAGCTCCTCAATGCGAGCCTAGCAATTAATGATTGACAGTAATTATGAGTTAGGTAAGTAGAAGGAAACCAATTACATGTTAGATAAAAAAATGGAAAATACAGAAATCCAATTTTACCTGGAGCTCCTTGATCTTCTTCTGAAGCTGAGCACCAAGGGACTGTTCATCCTCAATCTTGCTGAGGAGTTGRCTGATTTCAAAGTCCTTCCTGCATGTCAATAAATGGTGTTAGAATTAACTTTGAAAGCTTCTTTACTTATCAAGTTCAGTAATAGTAATATAGATCYGTTCATTTACTTCTTGATTTTCTCATCAGATTGCTGCTTGTCRTTCTCCAGATCCATTATGGACTCCTGGGCCAGTTTCAGATCTCCTTCAAGCTTTCTCTTGGCTCTCTCAAGGTCCATGCGGAGCTTCTTCTCTTGTTCCAGTGAGCCTTCAAGCTATGAAATTATATTAGTCACCTTTATACATCAATATCTTGAGAAATTATTGTTAACTCCAAAATTAAAGACAGTTTTCTTACAAAGCAAAACATTAAAATCAAATAGAGATTTTTCTTACATCGTCCACTTGCTGTTCCAGCTTTGTCTTGGCCTTTGTCAGAGTGTTGACTTTGTCTTCCTCTGCCTGGAGGTCATCCAGTGTTTGTTGATGAGCCTCTTGGAGAGCTTTCTTCTCCTTGGTCAGCTTGGCAATGGCCTCATCCTGAGTAGCCATCTCCTCTGTCAGATTTTTCACCTGAGATTTCATGAAAAACACACAGAAATGCATTAGTATACATTAATATCACTAAATGTACATATGGTAGTCATAATAGTGCTTGTATCCAGTACAAACCTTATTTTCAGTGGCATGCTTCTCTTTCTCCACTTTGGCCAAGGTGAGCTCTAAGTCATCAATGTCCTTCTTCAGCTCAGAGCATTCATCCTCCAGCTTCCTCTTCTTGGCAGTCAGCTCAGCATTGATTTCCTCTTCATCCTCCAGTCTCTCAGTTGTCTCCTTGAGTTTGGCCTCGAGCTGGATCTTGCTCTTGATGAGTCCCTCACACCTTTCCTCTGCATCTCCAAGATTTTCAACTTCCTTTGATTTTGAATAGAGAAATTATGTTGAAGAATAGTAGTTATATTAAATTAGATCATGATTGTAACTAGATTTTTTTGCTATTCAACATGTAATGTGGTAAAAATTATTATAAAACACATGTAAAATAAAATAAAAAAAAA